CATCGTTGGTATCAGTGGGAGGAATAGTGCCCCATCATTGGTATCAGTGGGAGGAATAGTGCCCCATCATTGGTGTCAGTGGAAGGAATAGTGCCCCATCATTGGTGTCAGTGGGAGTGGGAGGAATAGTGCTCCATCGTTGGTATCAGTGGGAGGAATAGTGCCCCATCGTTGGTATCAGTGGGAGGAATAGTGCCCCATCATTGGTATCAGTGGGAGGAATAGTGCCCCATCATTGGTGTCAGTGGAAGGAATGGTGCTCCACCATTGTGTCAGTGGAAGGAATAGTGTCCCATCATTGGTGTCAGTGGAAGGAATAGTGTCCCATCATTGGTGTCAGTGGAAGGAATAGTGTCCCATCATTGGTGTCAGTGGAAGGAATAGTGTTCCCATCATTGGTATCAGTGGGAGGAATAGTGTCCCATCACTGGTATCAGTTGGAGTAATAGTGCCCCATCATTGGTGTCAGTGGGAGGAATAGTGCCTTAAGGGCCAGATAAAGGCAAGCAAGTGGCCACATTCGGCCAGAAGGCCACAGTTTGGAGACCACTGATCTATGGTCTTAGTTTTGAATACAAAGAGGAAGGAAAAGGGCTTCTTCTGTGTAATATAATGTCTTGTGTAAATAATATGAATAAGACATAACAGTCATAAAGTTGATTTGTATTTATGGCCCCATAACATGGAGCAGCAAAATAATTTTGAATAAACAAGCCATGTTAAGACAGTAGCTAGAAGTATCAGTGGTAATGAAAGTAAACACCAGCTCCATATACCTGGAACGTCAGCCTCAGTAACAACAAATCTCTTTGTTCTCCTGGCAGAATGTTGTCTCTGTAAAACAGTAAAATGACAGTTAGTGGCAGCTTTCTGTTTATTTAAGAAAGAGACGTTCTTAGAATATAGATCCTTTCTTAGAATATAGTATGGGAGATACAAGTATAATAAAACAGTATAATGTTTGGATTGACAAGAATATGACACTAATAGCTGATCACATAATTTCCTAGCAGGTGTAGTAGAGTAATAGAAATCCAACAGACCCAACAGTCATGACATGCATGCTGCTGATTCTGTGTCATTGAATCACTCATTGAAAGGGGCGTGTTCAAAATAATAAAAATGCAAATTAATTAAATACTTGTGAGCCACTAAAAGTTTTCTTACTTATACAGCAATAAATACGGTGTATAGAAATAATATTAAGTACTGAATAAAGTGAACCCCTACTAAATTAATTAACGTGCTTAATTGAAATATTTAGATCGCTAGGTACTTATTACACCCTCTCCAGGTGTATGGATGTGAATTTCATATATCTATATTGTACCGCGCTCCAAACTATATAACTATAAGTGCTTTAAATAAATTATAAATAAATATTGTGTATCACCAATAATTCAATATTAATCTATAACCATGATGCTTAAATCCATAATTGCATAATATTTAAATCCATGATTAAAGTGAATCAAAAAATTAGTATGCACAAAAAACTGCGTGCATGGAAAACTCATAAAAGTGAAAAAATGAAGTGAAAATAAAATATAAAAAATAAAATAAAATAAATTGAGAAAAAAGTATATATAAGTGAATAATAGTTCAATTCATACAAGTTGAGATGGTAATGTAGTTCAATCTAATCTGCGTGGTAAGTCAGCGTTCATGACATGAACCTCTCTCTCCTTCCTCCTCTCCTTTCTCCTCAATACAGCCTTATTTCAATAGGGACTTTATCCTCTAGTTGCTTGGCTTATTCCTGGAACTGATATTTTGCCCACTGTAGGATGATCCATTTCAAGGATAAGGCCATTGTGTGCCACCTTCCACATTCGAGCCTTGCGGGTCACAGAGCTTTTTATATATATATCTCTGCCAGATATTAATCTCCTCCACTGCCTCCACCGACCTTGATCCTCCTCCAGGCAGTAAGTAACACTCCAATAACTCCCCTCATACAATGAATTCAAGCATCAGGGCAGGCCAGAGAGCTTCCTTCGTGTCCCAGGAGAGCTTCAGAGAGCTCTCCTGGGACACGAAGGAAGCTCTCTGGCCTGCCCTGATGCTTGAATTCATTGTATGAGGGGAGTTATTGGAGTGTTACTTACTGCCTGGAGGAGGATCAAGGTCGGTGGAGGCAGTGGAGGAGATTAATATCTGGCAGAGATATATATATAAAAAGCTCTGTGACCCGCAAGGCTCGAATGTGGAAGGTGGCACACAATGGCCTTATCCTTGAAATGGATCATCCTACAGTGGGCAAAATATCAGTTCCAGGAATAAGCCAAGCAACTAGAGGATAAAGTCCCTATTGAAATAAGGCTGTATTGAGGAGAAAGGAGAGGAGGAAGGAGAGAGAGGTTCATGTCATGAACACTGACTTACCACGCAGATTAGATTGAACTACATTACCATCTCAACTTGTATGAATTGAACTATTATTCACTTATATATACTTTTTTCTCAATTTATTTTATTTTATTTTTTATATTTTATTTTCACTTCATTTTTTTCACTTTTATGAGTTTTCCATGCACGCAGTTTTTTGTGCATACTAATTTTTTGATTCACTTTAATCATGGATTTAAATATTATGCAATTATGGATTTAAGCATCATGGTTATAGATTAATATTGAATTATTGGTGATACACAATATTTATTTATAATTTATTTAAAGCACTTATAGTTATATAGTTTGGAGCGCGGTACAATATAGATATATGAAATTCGTGTTTCAAAATAATAGCAGTGTGGAGTTCTATTAGTGAGGTCATTCATTCTTTGAAAAAACAGGTGGCAATTATTGCCCTTATTTAAGGAAAGGAAGGCAGCAAATGTTGGACATGCTGGTTACAGTGCATTTCTCTCTGAAATTCTGAGGAAAATGGGTCGTTCCAGACATTGTTCAGAAGAACAGCGTACCTTGATTAAAAAGTTGATTGGAGAGGGGAAAACATATAAAGAAGTGCAGAAAATGATAGTCTGCTCAGCTAAAATGATCGCAAATGCTTTAAAATGGCAACCAAAACCTGAAAGACGTGGAAGAAAGCGAAAAAAACTACCATTGGAATGGATAGAAGAATAGCCAAAAATGGCAAGGACTCCGCCAACAATCAGCTCCAGGAGATGAAAGAAGGTTTGTGACGTTCCCTGTGAGGACTGTTACAATTAGAAGACGCCGATGTGAAGCCAAGCTATCTGCAAGAAGTCCCCGCAAAGTCCCACTGTTGGAAAAAAGACGTGTGCTGAAGAGGTTACAGTTTGCCAAAGAGCACATTGACTGGCCTAAAGAGAAATGGCGCAACATTTTGTGGACGGATGGAAGTAAGATTGTTCTTTTTGGGTCTAGTGGGCGGAGACAGTTTGTCAGACGACCTCCAAACACTGAATTCAAGCCGCAGTACACTGTGAAGACAGTGAAGCATGGTGGTGCAAGCATCATGGTATGGGGATGTTTCTCATACTACGGTGTTGGGCCTATTTATCGCATACCAGGGATCATGGATCAGTTTGAATACATCAGAATACTTGAAGAGGTCATGCTGCCTTATGCTGAAGAGGAAATGCCCTTGAAATGGTGTTTCCAACAAGACAACGACCCCAAACACACCAGTAAATGTGCAACATCTTGGTTCCAGACCTACAAGATGGACGTTATGGAGTGGCCAGCCCAATCCCCGGATCTTCATCCAATAAACTTGTGGGGGACATCAAAAATGCAGTTTCTGAGGCAAAACCAAGAAATAGAGAAGAACTGTGGAATGTCGTCCAATCATCCTGGGCTGGAATACTGATCACAGGGGCAGAAGTTGGGGGACTCCATGCAACACAGATGTACAGCAGTTCTCAGAAAACAGTGCGACTACAACCAAATATTCATGAAGTCATTCAAAGGAAAGTAAAATCTTCAAACATTTCTCAGTTTTATATAGTGAATGTTTGAGTTTGTAAAGAAGAATACAAACATGGCGATTTTTTTGAACCGTCTAATATTCACTTTTCTTTCAATTTTTTTAGAGGAACAACACAAATTTGATGTATTTTTCTTCATGTTGTGATTTGGAATAGAATGTGTCGTGTTTCCAATGCATTTGTGTGGATGGAAATAAAAGCTATTAGAAAGGATTTTGAGCTTTATTCACTTTTTTCAACACACTGCTATTATTTTGAAAACAACTGTACATGCTAGGAAATGTAGTGTTGGAGGCAAATGAGATTTTGAGGGTGAGGTGAACTGTAGAACCTAATCTATTCTTTTTCGAATTTGCCACACCCCTACCTGAAGGTCCGAGTCACCCCGCAATCCCAGAACATGTTTCAGAGATTTCTTTGACTTGATAGCCCTGAAAGAAATATTGTATGGTGATGATTTTTAGGGTGTCAGCATCTAGTGAAGTTTTTCTCAACATTTTTACCTCTGAGGAACCTGTGAAGTCATGTTCAGGTCTCAAGGAACCCCTGCTAAAACCAATTCATTGGGGGGGGGGTCAGTGGAAAAATGCACCTTACATTGGTGGCTAGAAGAATACCCAGGAACAACATAGGCACCATCAAATGGGAGGTCAAATAATCACAGCTCAGCGTTATTGCTGCGTTTTTGATGTGTTTTGCGTTTGGGTTATTTTTTTTTTTTTTTTTCTTGTTGCTAGGCAGATTTAAAACATTGGAATACTAGTCAGTACCAGTGTGTAAAAGTGTATTTGATTTGGAAGAATAAATCACCTCTAATGTTGGGTGTCCTAAATGTGTGGATGTCACTGCGTTATATATAAAAAACTATTAAAATAGTTTTTACATTTTAGACTGGAGTGCCTCTGGACTGTCCATAATTTTAGAGGATTCCTCTGGATTCTCCATAATTTTAAAGTGTGCATCTGGACTGTCCATAATTTGAGAGGGTTGCTCTGGACTGTCCATAATTTTAGAGGGTGCCTCTGGACTGTCCATAATTTTAGAGGGTGCCTCTGGACTGTCCATAATTTTAGAGGGTGCCTCTGGACTGTCCATAATTTTAGAGGGTGCCTCTGGACTGTCCATAATTTTAGAGGGTGCCTCTGGACTGTCCATAATTTTAGAGGGTGCCTCTGGACTGTTCATAATTTTAGAGGGTGCTTCTGGACTGTCCATAATTTTAGAGGGTTTCTCTGGACTGTCCATAATTTTTAGAGGGTGCCTCTGGACTGCCCATAATTTTAGAGGGTGCCTCTGGACTGTCCATAATTTTAGAGGGTGTCTCTGGACTGTCTTCATTTTAGAGGGTGCCTCTGGACTGTCCATAATTTTAGAGGGTTCCTCTGGACTGTCCATAATTTTAGAGGATTCCGCTGGACTGTCCATCATTTTTAGAGGGTGCCTCTGGACTGTTCATAATTTTAGAGGGTTCCTCTGGACTGTCCATCATTTTAAAGGGTGCCTTGACCGAAAAAAGGTTGAGAAACACTGACATCTAGTATTATAAATGATAGTACATGATATCCCATTGGACAGTATGTCCTACCTGCACATCGTTGTCCACAGGTGTGGCAGATCTGTTACTCTTCGCAGAGCTACAACCTACTCCGCCTGCAAAGAAACAATGCCAACTGTTACCACTTATTCAAACAATAACAAATAAAAAAAATATACATATAGCATAATATATATATATATTTGTAACACAAGTCATATTGTAATTGAATGTTAACCACTTTACCACCGCCCTATAGACAGAAATACTGCTACAGGGTGGCAGGGGTGCGCACAATCACATATATATATGCGTGATTTTGTATTTCCGGGTGGGGGCGCGCGCGAGCCCTAACTGCCACCATTCACGGCCTCGGCTGTCAAACACCAGGTCCCGGACGGTAATTACTCGCCAGCACCCTGTGATCGACGAGTAATACCGACGGGGGAGAGAACTGTATGTAAACAATACAGATCTCTCTCTTGTCAGCTCCAGCACACTGCTTTGCATGGCTCTGCGTAGCAGAGCCATACAAAGCAGTGTGCTTATCAAGATGAAATAGAAGCGTGGTCAGAAAAGCACCAAGTGACTTGAACTTCTATCCAGGTGGGGGTGTTGTGCCTACCCATATCACCCAGACACCTGAGGCCTTTGAACAACTTGCAGTGGATGACCACTCTGACAATGAACTCGAGATGAGGACAGAAACCCTATCCAGTCTAACCGAGGGCAGCTGCCCGCCAGATATTCTGATTATGTTGTTTGCTTCCTTGGTTTTCACCATTTGTTGTCAATGTATGAGGTGACAGCATCTGTCAAAGGAAGGGGGGGGTTTAGGCAGGTGTAATGCAGCCTCCCTGAATGGGTGGCACTGTACAGTGGCCGCTGTGTAGAAGGGGCAGAGGAGAAGGGGCCATCTTCCTCTGAGGCCTCCATAGATGTCATCAGGGTTTGGACGTTGCTGCCATGGCTGACTCCCACAGCCATCTTTAGTGTAGGCAGTGCTAATAAATAGCACTTTCCCCCTTCAGTTTGTGCCCGAGTACCCGATTGGTCAATCTGCCCTAGACGAAGGTAATATGGGCAAATTTAGAAAGGATTGGGGAAGATGGTCCGGCTTCAAGGCAGGTGGAAAATATATGGAAGTAGTGGGAGGCCCAGGGATCTGATTGGAGGTGGGAGAATAAAGGGAATGTCTTGTAAGGTGATAGGAGGAATAGAAAAGGGAAAAGAAAAGTCGAAGGGAAAGAAAGAATAGCAAGAAAAAGGAAGAGTTGGAAACGAGGATCGAGGAGAAAGTTCAGAGGTATAAAATGGAAAGGTGGAAAGAGAAGGGAAGAGCTATATGGACCGGGGTAGATCGTTAGGGGGTTTGGTAAGGGGGCAGTGGGGAGGTGGGATTGTAAAATTTAGGGGACTGTTTGTATTTTGGATGAAAATGGTATTTTGCTGTGTTTTTGTAATGGAAAAAAAGTAGTGGGAGGCCCAGGGATCTGATTGGAGGTGGGAGAATGAAGGGAATGTCTTGTAAGGCGGTAGTAGGAATAAGAGAAGGGAAAAGAAAGGTCAGCGGGAAAGAGAGAATAGTAAGAAAAAGGAAGCGTTGGAAGCAAGGATCGAGGAGAAAGAGCAGAGGTATAAAATGGAAAGAGAAGGGAAGAGCTATATGGACCGGGGTAGATCGTTAGGGGGTTTGGTAAGGGGGGCAGTGGGGAGGTGGGATTGTTTATATTTTGGATGAAAATATTATTTTGCTGTGTTTTTGTAATGAAAAAGAAGTTTGATAAAAGTTTTAAATAATAAAACAAACAAATCCACTTGAGTAAAAGTCATTCACACAACGAAGTCTTTAGCCATGCTTCCTCCATCTTTGATTCTGCTCCATCCTACAAAATATCTTCATGTTTCTTCTTCTGGAAAATATACGGAAGTGATGGGAGGCCCAGGGATCCGATTGGAAGTGGGAGAATAAAGGGGATGTTTTGTAAGGTGGTAGCAGGAATAGGAGAAGGGAAAAGAAAGGTCAGCGGGAAAGAATAGTAAGAAAAAGGAAGAGTTGGAAACGAGGATCAAGGAGAAATATCAGAGGTATAGAATGGAAAGGTGGAAAGACGTATATGGACCGGGGTAGATCGTTGAGGGGTTTGGTGAGGGGGCAGTGGGGAGGTGGGATTGTAAATTTAGGGGATTGTTAGTATTTTGGATGAAAATGGTATTTGGCTGTGTTTTTGTAATGGAAAAAAAAGTTTAATAAAAGATTTAAATAATGAAACAAACAATTCCACTTGTTTGTGGATAAAACAAACTTCCTCCATCTTTGATTCTGTTCCATCCTCCAAAATATCTTCATGTTTCTTCTTCTGGAAAATATACGGAAGTGGTGAGAGGCCCAGAGATCTGATTGGAGGTGGGAGAATAAAGGGAATGTTTTGTAAGGCAGTAGCAGGAATAGGAGAACGGAAAAGAAAGGTCGAAGGGAAAGAAAGAATAGTAAGAAAAAGGAAGAGTTGGAAACGAGGATCAAGGAGAAAGATCAGAGGTATAAAATGGAAAGGTGGAAAGAGAAGGGAAGAGCTATATGGACCGGGGTAGATCGTTGAGGGGTTTGGTAAGGGGGCAGTGGGGAGGTGGGATTGTAAAATTTATTGGATTGTGTATATTTTGGATGAAAATGTTATTTTGCTGTGTTTTTTTAATGGAGAAAAAAGTTTAATAAAAGATTTAAATAATAAAACAAACAAATCCCACTTGAGTAAAAGTTATTCACACAACGGAGTCTTTAGCCATGCTTCCTCCATCTTTGATTCTGCTCCATCCTACAAAATATCTTCATGTTTCTTCTTCTGGAAAATATACGGAAGTGATGGGAGGCCCAGGGATCCGATTGGAGGTAGGAGAATAAAGGGAATGTTTTGTAAGGTGGTAGCAGGAATAGGAGAAGGGAAAAGAAAGGTCAGCGGGAAAGAATAGTAAGAAAAAGGAAGAGTTGGAAGCGAGGATCGAGGAGAAAGATCATAGAATGGAAAGAGAAGGGAAGAGCTATATGGACCGGGGTAGATCATTGAGGGATTTGGGTGATGGGGCAGTGGGGAGGTGGGATTGTAAAATTTAGGGGATTGTTAGTATTTTGGATGAAAATGGTATTTGGCTGTGTTTTTGTAATGGAAAAAAAAGTTTAATAAAAGATTTAAATAAGATTTTAACAAATCCCACTTGAGTAAAAGTCATTCACAACGGAGTCTTTAGCCATGCTACCTCCATCTTTGATTCTGCTCCATCCTACAACAAATCTTCACGTTTCTTCTTCTTTCTGGCCTCCTCATCGCATCGCTTCGTACATAAAGAAGAGTCTTCACAAACAACTACAGAATGTGAAGAGGTGAAGAGAAGACGTCACGGACTGTTGGCTTACCTGTCTGGCAGATGAAGCCATATTGTTGTAGACAAGGTGTCTCCTGTAGAACTCCAGAAGAGGACAGAGTCGGGCACCATCTCTCTACTTCTGCATCTCGGCGCTGCAAAATATTTGCTGTTGGAAAAAAGATACAATGTAATAAAGTTCCTGGATCCTCTACAAGTTGGAGACACCGACTGATGTCAGAGGAGCTCCGTGTTCCGGGGGTTGTTTTTGTCTTGGGCGTGTAGTAAAGCCGTGCGCACACCAGAGATCTTTGCTGATGGGACCGTGCTACTAAAATCTAATTGCCAGCAGCTACTACAGGGGGAAGCAGCACCGATGGACTGCACAGATTGGAGCGTTGCGCCACCATTGGTTCTAAACACTAATCCTTTGTTACTTTGAATGCATTCTCTGCAACAAGGGAAAAAAACCTTCCAATGATAATTTACCATCCCCCCCCCCCAACACTTACTTGGCTCCTCCATCAATCCAGCGCTGTGGGTTTTTTGGGGGGGCAAGGCCAAGCCATGCGGTGTGTGTCTATGGAAGCACACAGCCTTGCTCGGGAGTGGCCCCACCTTGCTGTTGTAGCTGCTGGGCGGATCTATTGTTGCTAGGGTGGTATTTTGCTTTGAGAGTCCATTGTTGCTGGAGGAATCTATTGTTGGGGGGGAAGGGAGGGTTTAATGCTGCTGGCTGCAAGAGAATCTACCTTTCTGCTTTGTAATCATTAACATATTCCATACAAATTATTTAGCACCACAAAATGATGATTGGCTCTTTACTGGGAGGTGAGGAACCAAGTGAAGGAGCTCAGGGGTGGGGCGGGGGGGGGGACAAGAAGTGTCTCAGAAGGAGGGAGTTCCTGCGCCTATTTTATGAGAGAAAAAGCTCTGATCTTCACACTAACCTGTACCCTCCCACTGCTCCTCCCACTGCTCCTCCGACTGATCCTCCCACTGATCCTCCCACCGATCCTCCTACTGATCCTCCCCACTGATCCTCCCACTGATCCTGCCACTGATCCTCCCACTGATCCCCCCACTGATCCTTGCACTGATCCTCCCACTGATCCTCCCACTGATCCTCCCACTGATCCTCCTCGCACTGATCCTCCCACTGATTCTCCCACCGATCCTCCCACCGACCCTCCCACTGATCCTCGCACTGGTCCTCCCACTGATCCTCCCACTTATCCTCCCACTGATCCTCGCACTGATCCTCCCACTGATCCTCCCACTGACCCTCCCACTGATCCTGCCACTGATCCTGCCATTGATCCTCCCACTGATCCTGCCACTGATACTGCCACTGATCCTGCCACTGATCCTCCTGCTGACCCTCCCGCTGGTCCTCCTGCTGACCCTCCCGCTGGTCCTTCCGCTGATCCTGTCGCTGATCCTGTCGCTGATCCTCCCACTGGTCCTCCTATTGATCCACTGATCCTGCCGCTGATCCTCCCACTGACCCTCCCACTGCTCCTCCCACTGATCCTCCCACTGATCCTCCCACTGACCCTCCCACTGACCCTCCCACTGATCCTTGCACTGACCCTCCCACTGACCCACTGATCCTCCCACTGACCCTCCCACTTATCCTCCCACTGATCCTCCCTGTAACCCCCTCAAAGTAACCCTTTCTT